TTCCCCCTGGCTATGTTCATCTTTTATTTCTATGTTGAGTTAATATATTGGATTTTGTTTCCAATCTGCACCCTGCTGTGAGTTGGCTGTCCATATAAATTTAAGTATAAATAGGTAAAATAAATACATGTTGGCCTTTCTTTTATATTTGAAACTGCTAACTTTAGCTCTTTTTTCAATAAAAAGAGTCATCTTGGGGGTTGTTTCTCCCTTTCCTTGGGCATTGCTACTCTTTCTAGTCTGCTAATGAAGCTTTTTATGAGCCATCCGGCACATTTCCACCTAACATTCCTACCACTTTGGGCCTATAACCTTAGCCTTGTTCTTTCTGTATTTTGACATTTAACATTGAAATCCTTTCAGCTGTGTCTCCTGTCCCAGTTTACCTAGTCCAGTGGTGGCGAACCTATGGTACGCATGCCAGAGGCGGCACTCGGAGCCCTCTCTGTGGGCACGTGAGCCATGCCCCAGAGATGGCAACCGTCCCTCTTCAACCAGCCGCCCGCTAACTCGCCGAGGTCCCACTTGGCCGGATGCACCCCAGCACGGCTGGTTTCCCTCCCTCCTGGCCTCGCATGCTCTCCTTTTCCTGGGCACGACCCACTGCATTGCCTCCTCAGCTGTCGGCCATCTGTCCAGCTCAGAGGCGGCTTCCCTGAACTGCTGGCGGCAGGCTGCGGAGCCCTAGAGTGCGCTGGTCGAGGAGCCGGCAGGCTGTGACTGCTGATGGACACTGTTGGTCCCCATGCGCTCACTGGCCTCTGTATGCGGGGGCCAATGGTGTCAGGCAGCAGTCGCCCCGGCCCTTGCCTCACCTTGCCCTGCGACAATGGCACCCCTGCCCTGCCTCGCCTTGCCTCCCCTCACCCTGCAGGACGAGCCTCCTGCCCACTGCCCCACCTGCCAGAGACCCCCTGGATCTCCCCAAACCCTGCCCGCCCCCCACAGGCATTCCTCCCCATGAGCAACATTGAGGTGACCACGCCCACTTTGGCCACACCCACCCAGTCTGCTATGACCACCACAGCCACGCCCACCCAGTGGGTCATGCCCACCTGGCACCCGGTGATAAATAAGTGGGTTTTGGATTGCAGTTTGGGCACTCGGTCTCTAAAAGGTTCGCCATCACTGACCTAGTCTGATGGAAGACATTCTGTCTGGTAGGCAAAGTGTCGGCTCATAGGCTGAAAGCCTGTGTGCTTTATATCCTTCTTTCTTTATTTTTATAGGAACAAAGTAGGATGCCCACATATTTCATTTCTTCCAAAATCAGTCTGTACCTACAGTACTGTTTGGAATCATACATTGCCTATTTTTCACCACACCAAA